TTGAACTGAACATAACTGTATTTAGCAGATAACCCCCCCCCCTCCTCAAATGCCATTCAAAGATTATTTACTGTATTTATTTCATCACTGCATTCCTTAGGAACTAAACCCATGATCATGATGTTGCTAGTGCAAAGCATAAATACTCCACTTCCATTTATTTAGATTCAGCAACTCACTTTCTTAAAAATGGCTGGGTTAGGGAGGGGTGGTCCGAAAAAGGGGACGTCGTCTCTCGCTGTTACTGAAACCTAGAGAATGACAAATACGTGTATCATTTACTGACTCACAAAGAAGTGTTACAGAAGCGCTAGATTGCAGTAATACTGTGATAATGTACCTTGTACAGGACGTTGTCAGAGCAGGCATTTTCAACTTGCACCACTACATAGGCATGCAGGAAGTTGGAGGCAATCATGTCTGGCACAAATGGAGTGTTCTCCTCTTGAAACAGGATGGCCACGATGTCATTTCCTATATGCCTCTTTCTTTGTAGCTGTGATAACAAAACAAGAGAGTTTACTTGGTTACACTTTACTTGAAGGGGTGTGCATAAGACTGATATGACACCTTCATAATCATGACATGACATGACACCAACATAATCATGACATGACATATGTCATGAATATGAAGGTTTTTTATGCATGTTTATGACAACTGTCATTAAGTGTCATTCGCTCAGTTATGTAATTTTTAATGCAAAGATGACATTGTTTGAGATGTCTTTGTTATGGGCTATGGTTAGGGGCAAGGGTAGGGGTAGGGTTAGGTTAGGGTTAGGTCAAATAATGTCATATTTGCATTAAAAATGACATAACTGAGCGAATGACACTTAATGACAGTTGTCATAAACATGCATAAAAACCCTTCATATTCATGACATATGTCATGTCATGATTATGTTGGTGTCATGTCATGATTATGAAGGTGTCATGTCAGTCTTATGCACACCCCTTCAAGTAAAGTGTTACCGTTTACTTTTATAATCCTTCATTTAAAATCTCCTTATGTAACACTTGCACTTTCAACATGTACGCAAACTCAAATACCAAACAGCTGTTAAGGTGAGATTTCTTTGGCATAATTTAAAATGTATTAGCAGCTTTCAAGTCAAAGAATAATAAAAAAGTGGGTCCTGGCTGGACGCTGATTGGTCAAAACAGTGTTGCAGTCTACTAAAATACAAAATATAGTAAGGTATGATGCAAACACTTGTTCACATTAGTTTCATAAAAAGCCAACTATTAATGTGTAACTAACCTACATACAGTTAAAATATTTGGGGTCTATAAGAATATTTTAATGTTTTTTAAACAAATCTCTTATGCTCACTAAGGCTGCATTTATTTGATCAATAATACAAATAAATAAAAATATTTCATTTTAATATTTTAATATATTTTCTATTTCAATCCATTTTAAAATGTAATTTATTCCTATGATGGCCAAGCTGAATTTACAGCAGCCATTACTCCAGACTTCAGTGTCACATGATCCTTCAAAAATCATTCTAATACTTTTTCAGGATTCTTTGATGAATAGAAAGCTCAAAAGAACAGCATTTATTTGAAATAGAAAGCTTTTGCAACATTATAAATGTATTTACTGTCACTTTTGGTCAATTTAATGTGTATCCGATGACTAAAATTATTAATTTCATTAAAAAAATCATACTGACCCCAAACTTTTGAACAGTAGTGTATACTTAAAGAATAATAGCACATAATAAATTAGCTTTAAAAAATACTGTTTTAATGAAAAGTTGCATCTTTAATATTTTTATTAAGCCATTTTATACAATCAATATAGTAATGAGCCATGTCCAAACATATACGAACCCAAAGTTGTGATGCGTGTCATTAAATGCTCTTCTGGCTGACATCTGATGATAAATTCCATTAATTTTGGGATTTAATTTATATGTCAGTGATACCATGTGCTGAAGTTGTTTTTCACAACATGTCTCAACAGATGGCTGTCAAGGGCAAACACAGAGGTTGCTGCCGCTCATTTAAACATTGACATCAGTTCACCCACCCGATCTGCTGTCAACCTCCAATCACTGCAGAGTGTGTACACATATGACAGTGAGAGAGAGAGAGGAGCACGCTTCATGAGCTCTAAATGTAGAAGATTCCCTGAGGAGTGAGCTCTAAAAACACTCTTCCTCAAAGGGTGCAGTGCTGCCAGTGAAGGTGCAGAATAAAGGTCACTTTGTGAGTGAACAATCATCTGCCAGCACATCAGCAGTGTGTGGCTGCAGGAAACAGCATCTGCCACAGTGCTAAGGAATGTATTTCTCCCCTCCTGTCAAACCAGATGGCTTATACCTATGTGGCTTGTTTTTTTATTTCGCATCAGATCAGTATCTACAAAGACGGATAATCAGGGACAACTGATTATATTTTGTTCCACTAAAGATTACCACAGTTGTATTGATTAAAGGATCTAGAAGCAGGGAAATGTGCTATGAGTAACTCTCTCATTGAACCCACAGCATTGATAGTAGGGATGCACCAATCCGATACTCAGTATCGGTATCGGCTCCTATACTATATTTTTAGTATCGGATCGGATTGGTTCTGAAAAAATGGTATCGGTGCATCCCTAATTGCGAGTACCTGCTGTGTATCGCCCTCTGTGTAAGGCAGCTTAGTTGACACGTGGAACATGATCTCCTTGTTGTGGAAATTGTGGTACACAGATTCAGAGCCTGTCTGTCCATGTGTCACGTCCAATCCTCCACGAAACCTAGTAGAAAACAGAATATTCAAGTGTTTTGCAGTCAAATATGAAGGGCATTGTTAGCATTAAACTTCACAGAGACAATTAATCCATGCTTTGTAGCAAATCTTTATGATATAGATACCTTTCTAAAGGTTACATACTGTAATACTGTAAGAGGAAAAATTAGCTAAATGTTTTTAGCACAATGATATTTCACCACACTGTGTTTTATTATTCAGTAATAAAGTAATAAATCTCTCACTAAAATTAAGGAATAAATTATTGATTTAATTTAAAAAATGCAAAAGGATAAAAAGAAATATAAAGAAAACCTATTGGTTTTAAATGTCTATTTATTTGTCAATTTGAAAATTTGAAAATATTATTAACATTAACTAAACAAACACATATTTATTTAAAATAAATACATTTAAAAGTGATTTATTTACATTTTTATTTAAGAAATAATTAAAAAATTATATAAATAAATTTAATTCCTTTATTTTTAAGTGGCTCTCCTTGTTCTGTACGGTTTTATTTTATTATTATTTATATACAATTACATACTATTAGTATATTTTATTAGTATTTATTAATATTTAGATTTTTTAAATTTTTTAAGCTTTCATTTTATTTGTATATTAAGTTTTAGTAAATTTATTTTTTTGTTTTTTCTAAAAATATTTCTCTTTACCTTTAATATTTCTGTTTCAGTTTTAGTCTGAGTAATTTTAGTGCTTCAACATTTTATTTCGGTTACTTGCCAGGGCAATATTTAAAATGTATGTGTATGTTTTTTAAGTTTTCAATCTAATATTCATATTTCATGTTATTTTATTTAATCTTTATTTAAATAAACTGAATCTTTTTTAATAGTTTTAGTTAATAACAACACTGGTTTAGTCTAGTTTAATCAGATGATTTTAGAAGTTTTAAGCATAAATACATGCAATGTACATTTTACATTTTTTTTGTGTGATTTGAAGTTTCAAACAAAACAGACAGTGTGTGAAAATAAACAGCACTATAAGAAAGTGTAGTTCATTCTTAGTGAAATATCTCCTCAGAAGTGCACAAATAAAAACTCCAACATCCAAAGCTTCTATTTTAATTAATTCATGCTGTGAAACATTTCATCTCGCTCGTCTACATCTTGCTTGTGCCATATTGAGAGAGAGAGAGAGAGAGAGCGGTTCTGTTTTTAAGTGTTACCCCTTGAAGTCATGGAGCTCGATTTTCTGTCCCAGAAACTCTAAAAACTCCACCAAAGCAGGACTCTCCTCGTTATTCCCAAACAACTCCTCCTCTGAGGTCTACACAGATAAAAACACATAAAATGCTTAAAAGTTTCAAACAAACATTTGTGTTGTGCCCTTGGCAGCAGACACAGTAACCCTTCAGGTACAATAGAAGGTCAACACAACACAGAAGCTTCATGCATTATCATTACTTCAATTACTGAATGAGATAAAGTAATTCAGCCTTTCAAAAATCACAAATCACAAAAACAAGAACACATAATGACGACACATTATGCTACAGCCCAAAGCCCGAAATTAAACAAACCCCAAATGAAATGAACCCACACACACAAAAGCAAGAACATCTTGATGAAGACAAAAGCAAACTTTAAAATTAGCAAACATAAATGGCTCATCATGAGTCAATTAGCTTGATGAATATGCAAATTGTTCGTCTGAATAAACATAGTCTCCCATTTAGAGTCAAGGAGGGCAAGCGGAAGTTTTGAGGACTGATCCATAAGGTGCGTTATAAACATAAGCATGTCCCATTAAAGGCCTCAGTGTTCTTGCTGCCCACATTGGAAAGGTTGAGTGCGTGAGAGAGAGAGAGGAGCATGCTTCATGAGCTCTAAATGTAGAAGATTCCCTGAGGAGTGAGCTCTAAAAACACTCTTCCTCAAAGGGTGCAGTGCTGCCAGTGAAGGTGCAGAATAAAGGTCACTTTGTGAGTCAACAATCATCTGCCAGCACATCAGCAGTGTGTGGCTGCAGGAAACAGCATCTGCCACAGTGCTAAGGAATGTATTTCTCCCCTCCTGTCAAACCAGATGGCTTATACCTATGTGGCTTGTTTTTTTATTTCGCATCAGATCAGTATCTACAAAGACGGATAATCAGGGACAACTGATTATATTTTGTTCCACTAAAGATTACCACAGTTGTATTGATTAAAGGATCTAGAAGCAGGGAAATGTGCTATGAGTAACTCTCTCATTGAACCCACAGCATTGATAGTAGGGATGCACCAATCCGATACTCAGTATCGGTATCGGCTCCTATACTATATTTTTAGTATCGGATCGGATTGGTTCTGAAAAAATGGTATCGGTGCATCCCTAATTGCGAGTACCTGCTGTGTATCGCCCTCTGTGTAAGGCAGCTTAGTTGACACGTGGAACATGATCTCCTTGTTGTGGAAATTGTGGTACACAGATTCAGAGCCTGTCTGTCCATGTGTCACGTCCAATCCTCCACGAAACCTAGTAGAAAACAGAATATTCAAGTGTTTTGCAGTCAAATATGAAGGGCATTGTTAGCATTAAACTTCACAGAGACAATTAATCCATGCTTTGTAGCAAATCTTTATGATATAGATACCTTTCTAAAGGTTACATACTGTAAGAACATTCAGGGAAAAATTAGCTAAATGTTTTTAGCACAATGATATTTCACCACACTGTGTTTTATTATTCAGTAATAAATTATTCAGTCTCTCACTAAAATTAAGGAATAAATTATTGATTTAATTTAAAAAATGCAAAAGGATAAAAAGAAATATAAAGAAAACCTATTGGTTTTAAATGTCTATTTATTTGTCAATTTGAAAATTTGAAAATATTATTAACATTAACTAAACAAACACATATTTATTTAAAATAAATACATTTAAAAGTGATTTATTTACATTTTTATTTAAGAAATAATTAAAAAATTATATAAATAAATTTAATTCCTTTATTTTTAAGTGGCTCTCCTTGTTCTGTACGGTTTTATTTTATTATTATTTATATACAATTACATACTATTAGTATATTTTATTAGTATTTATTAATATTTAGATTTTTTAAATTTTTTAAGCTTTCATTTTATTTGTATATTAAGTTTTAGTAAATTTATTTTTTTGTTTTTTCTAAAAATATTTCTCTTTACCTTTAATATTTCTGTTTCAGTTTTAGTCTGAGTAATTTTAGTGCTTCAACATTTTATTTCGGTTACTTGCCAGGGCAATATTTAAAATGTATGTGTATGTTTTTTAAGTTTTCAATCTAATATTCATATTTCATGTTATTTTATTTAATCTTTATTTAAATAAACTGAATCTTTTTTAATAGTTTTAGTTAATAACAACACTGGTTTAGTCTAGTTTAATCAGATGATTTTAGAAGTTTTAAGCATAAATACATGCAATGTACATTTTACATTTTTTTTGTGTGATTTGAAGTTTCAAACAAAACAGACAGTGTGTGAAAATAAACAGCACTATAAGAAAGTGTAGTTCATTCTTAGTGAAATATCTCCTCAGAAGTGCACAAATAAAAACTCCAACATCCAAAGCTTCTATTTTAATTAATTCATGCTGTGAAACATTTCATCTCGCTCGTCTACATCTTGCTTGTGCCATATTGAGAGAGAGAGAGAGAGAGCGGTTCTGTTTTTAAGTGTTACCCCTTGAAGTCATGGAGCTCGATTTTCTGTCCCAGAAACTCTAAAAACTCCACCAAAGCAGGACTCTCCTCGTTATTCCCAAACAACTCCTCCTCTGAGGTCTACACAGATAAAAACACATCAAATGCTTATAAGTTTCATACAAAAACCCACAGTAACCCATCAGGTACAATAGAAGGTCATCTCAACAAAGAAGCTTCATGCATTATCATTACTTCAATTACTGAATGAGATAAAGTAATTCAGCCTTTCAAAAATCACAAATCACAAAAACAAGAACACATAATGACGACACATTATGCTACAGCCCAAAGCCCGAAATTAAACAAACCCCAAATGAAATGAACCCACACACACAAAAGCAAGAACATCTTGATGAAGACAAAAGCAAACTTTAAAATTAGCAAACATAAATGGCTCATCATGAGTCAATTAGCTTGATGAATATGCAAATTGTTCGTCTGAATAAACATAGTCTCCCATTTAGAGTCAAGGAGGGCAAGCGGAAGTTTTGAGGACTGATCCATAAGGTGCGTTATAAACATAAGCATGTCCCATTAAAGGCCTCAGTGTTCTTGCTGCCCACATTGGAAAGGTTGAGTGCGTAAACACACCAATCTGTGAGCAATCTCACAGCCTCCGCTGTCATGCTAATACGTTAAGGGCATTTCTGGAAACTGTCCTCTCAGACACCTCTCACTCTCTGCCTACTCTCTGCAGCCTTAAAGGTCAAGGATCTGTCTTAATGCAATCAAAGCTCTCCTCTGGGAACAATAGCCTCATGATTTTAATAAAAGACAAATGAAGACAATGTGAGGTCAAGAGGAGGAAGGACTACTTTGTTAGCTGTTTGATTCAAAAGATCGAAGGTGTTGTTCTAAATAAAGATGAATTATGATGGTGAGTTACAGCACTGATTAATCTCTCTGCATCGGCTAAATGAGAGGAAATCAGGTCTGTAGAAGCTAACAGAGATACGGCTTCCCATGCGACTCACCTGTCCAAACTTCTGATAAATTACTCCAAACTTGAAGTTGTTGCTTATGACGTGTTCGTCAAAAGTGACGATGAGCCTGGAGGCCTGTGGGAGAGTAGATGTTTTCAATAGAATGATGAATGTCCTTTAAGTACTAGAACATGTGGGGGATGTGTGTCCCCCCCCCCCAAACTTTTAATAACACGTAAATTCGTCCCCCACACTTTTTTTCATGCAAGTCACATAGAGGTTTTCAAAGGCTGGTGTGAATAAATCTAGATTTAAATTCAAAGATAGAGGATAGTCTGCGCATGTTCTGATATTTTATTCAAATCCAGAATTAGGCGATATGAACATTATAGTGCGCTAAACACTCTCATGCAGTGTATGTTTCATTCATACTTAAAGCCGTAGGGTGCTCTCTCATAGTCTAAGACGGACTCATAGAAGTAATAACTTATGAAAAGGCTGGTGTGAATAAATCTAGATTTAAATTCAAAGATAGAGGATAGTCTGCGCATGTTCTGATATTTTATTAAAATCCAGAATTAGGCGATATGAACATTATAGTGCGCTAAACACTCTCATGCAGTGTATGTTTCATTCATACTTAAAGCCGTAGGGTGCTCTCTCATAGTCTAAGACGGACTCATAGAAGTAATAACTTATGACGTGCCAGGAAATCCCTAATATGGACAAAGACATCCAGCTATCGCTGTATAAGATGAATAAAAAGCAGAAACGTTTTGACTGATGAAATGTGAAGACATTAAACACATGAGTGCGGCAATATATGGTCTATGTGTGTTTTTCAAGTTATCTCCAGGTAATAAATAAAGAATATGAATAATGCAGTGCTAATTGAAATAAAAATGTATCTGCCTTATTTAGTGATAAAAATGGAAAAATGTGTTTTTAGTATATAAACAAATCACAAAAAAGGAAAATATAAGAAAAATATTATATTGTCCAGCAGTGAATTTGATTTCTTAGCCAATTAAAAGTAAGAAATAGAAAAATAAGCAAAAAATAAATAAATAAATAATAAAAAAAGGTATTACATTTGACATTTCTCTCCCCCTCACTTCTGAAATGATGGCTACGCCCCTGGCTTTGTCAGCACTGCAAACCCTTGAGAGACACAGAACAATACTTTCGCAGAAACTAGCATATTTCCCAGTGCCACGCTTTAATTAACCAGGACAAATGATTCACAATTATGTGTTATTGAGTTAAGAGTATCACTTTGGTGCAGGTGGAGCATACAAAAAGACTGATTGAAATTGTGTTGTGTAGGGTTGCGTACCTTTGGGTAAAGCACAGGGAAAAATCGGTCCACGTTCACCTCTTCACAGACGAGCTGATAATAATGAAAAGAGAAAGCACTTATTGATTAGTTCCTCATTCTCATTTGATCTTGCAAAAGTGATGCAACACTACGGTCGTCTGTCCAGGCAGGACAGAACAGGCTCATGGGAGAGTGAGACAATCAGTCATGTCACTCGGAGAGAATTGTGATAAATTGGAGGGCCTGAAAACAATAGTGCTGACCCCATTCACCCCCTCCTCACATGATTTACTCTCACCTTGGCCATCTGGACAATGTTGGGGAATTCGGTCAGACAAGATATTGGAATCACGTCGTGATATGTTTTCATTTTAGTTCTGTCAAAAAAGGAAAGACATTAGTAGACATAAGATTTAAGCTAATTACTGCTGCAAAAAGTATATAATCAAGGTGTGTGTGTGTGTGTGTGTGTGTGTGAATGTATTATATATATATACATATATATATATATATATATACAGTAGGTAGTCAACTAAAATGCCTATTAAAGCTGCGTGTACTGCCGCTGCAAGGCCACAGCGTTAAATAAAACCCAGTCACATATGAAACTTGCTCACAAACTCACCACGAGGTGGAGCAAAGGTATGGTTCAATTGCATTGCTCAATAAAGCTGGAATTGTGACATTTTCACTTGTAAACAAAGATAAAAAATAATGAAATAAAACTGTGGTGATATTACAATAATAGGTTAGTAAAGCATTATAACATTTAATCTCAAATTATTCATCATATAAATGTGTAATATTCCAGCTATTTGGCCACTCATTCTACGGCAGTGCTTGAAGTGTGCTTACTTTTTACTGTACAGTATCAGCCAGTATTAACTTTGAATGTTTAAATTACATTTAAAGAGGTGTGCATTATACCATAAAAAAATCTAACGATAGAAAAGGTGGATTATTGTTAATAGGAAGACTATGAGCGATAGAGGCCTAGTTCTAGCATACGTATATTTTGACACCATGAAAGGTATGAAACTTACTTTTAATAATTTGCTGATGCATTTCAGCAGGTCACGCATAGTACTTATTCGTTATCTGTCCTTTTTTGACACATCTATTGCCATATAGTACAGAGCCCTGCTCATGCATGCCAAAAATTATAATGTCCATGAATTAAGAAATTGTTGATCACTTTTTAAAATTTGTTCCTTTGTATTAATTAAAACGTGTTTAAATAATAATTAAACCATGTTTTAAATAATAATAATATGCATAATACATACCTTTTACTCGTTTATTAGTTTTTTTCTATCCTATTCCTTTAAACCACATGAATGAATTAATAAAATAAAATTCTTGATATACAGTAGTTGATATATTTTTCCCCGCATATCTGTGAATTGGTTTACACAAGCACCTTCAAGACATGGCTGCAGCGTCAACAATACTACAGTGAGAATAAAAGTTACGCCTTCTTTCTTTGCGTGAACATCTGGGCGGCGTTATGCAAATCTTCCCACATAGTGAGGTAGACGTGGGGGCGTGTTAGAACGAGCCGTTTTAGGTAGGTGTGGCTGACTCTGAACTTTTATAAAGAATATCTCTTTGGATTTGAGACTTTAGTTTTTGCAACTTTACAGATCTTCTTTATGCACCAAGAGCTTGTAACACTCCAAAGAGAAAGGAAAAATTGAAATCGCATCATATGAAAAGAAATGCAAATTATAAACTTAAGTGATGATGTAACACTGCCTCGATTGTGCAAGTGACAATTCCTGTCAACGGTGCAGCTCGCTTATAGAGCAGACGCGATGTGGTGATTTGAAGCCATTTGCGCATTTAGAGAGGGAAAGAGAGAGCGTACGGTGATTCACTCATGCTGTTTGTGCAATCACGTCTCACAGAAAGTTTTCAAATTTCTTTGTAAGTTATTTAATAAAGAAATATGAATTGTACATCACCTTCAGCATTATAATTATTTTACCCGCGTCAGACAGATATTGAGACGGTGCCGCTGCATGTCATGCTAAACCTCTCACAGCAGGTGCGTCGTCAGCTTGAGATCTGTTTATGAGATCGGCCTTTATAGAGACCGCCGATCAAACTTCCCAAAGCTTAGTTTTGCTTTGCTTCAGTAATGCATCGAAAAATATACAAATCCTCATCCCTGACGGCTCAAAAACAGCAACAACAAAAAACGTTTGTAGTGGAATTTAAGCACAACACGGCCCAGACCTACAACAGTAACACTTATTAACAGTCTTCAGCTCAGTGTCATTGTGGCATCATTAAATGTGTCACATGGATTTGATAACAGGAACATCCTGCTGTCTTCCCTCCACCCACTCACATTGCCCTATATTGTCCATCTGGTGCCTAATGCGGAAATGAGGGTGGTGTGTACATTTGGCCTGTTTAATCTGTGAGAAAAGTGGTTTTATTGTGGGTCCCAGGAAACATTCACAGTTGTTGTCAAGGAATAGATATCAGTGCGCTCCGTTTAATGTCCACAATAAAAGCCAAAGCTCAAAACAAAGTAATGAAACTGTGCCAGACACTAAGCCCTTCATTAGCCGCCCTCATCTACACGATAGAGACGTTTGGCAGGACACGAGGCCAGGAGACAAGTAAGTGATTTCGAGAAAAGTAAATAAGACATGACAGCGGGAGAAGCAATCTAGAATGGATGGGGAACAAAAAGCATTATTAGAAGAGAGAAGGTCACACCTGAGCATGAGGCGGAGATGCTCTTGGTCCCCGATAACATCATATTTCATGGAGAACACCAGGTGGCCCAGGGCACTGTCCACTGTATAGTAATTAAAGTGTTCCTAATGAAGGAGCAGAAGGCGAAGCTGTGAGTGCACATTCATCTTCACACTTTCAGGTTTTCAGTACCAACACTCCCCCACAGATCTAAGGGCTAACCGACCACTTCTTTATTCACATTAGTCTAATTTATAATGGATATTAGATGTGAATAAATTAAGCCCATTGAAGCTAAAGCCTCATAAATCTTCATTATGTTTGGCTGCTGCAGTGTCACATTGGCCTATGTAATTAGGTTACATTTGTTAACAATCACATTATTGAAACTTATTCAAATGTATGGGCTGAAGGTGATTTCATTCTGAATGTTCAGCTTTTTTATGCATTTTCGACTTCATTTGTGGGGGCTCATGTTCTATATTTAGACTTCTGAAGACATATCGTTCACTGATAATATTTACCGCTAGTGGACTGTTGTGGGCAAAACGCTGAGTAATTAAGTTGAATTTGAGAACCCAAACAGTCCGGTTTGTGAATGAATCATTCAGACCAGTTTTGTGAACTGGATTAATGGATTGACTGAAAAGTTCTGACTCAAAAGAACAGCTTGTTCATGAATTTGAGATTTCTACTTTTCAAACTTACAAGAATGTGTCAAGGAGTGCTAAAACAGATGTACAGTTAATAATGACTTATATTTTGGGCTGTTCTTCTCAGAAAGCTATTGACTTTAAAAGACATTATGGCTTTTTACACTGCGCGTAACTCCGGGTTATCGTCGTTCTAAACCCTGCTGTGAAACGTGAAACAAGATAATCCTGGATTCCTTTTACCCAGGGTTAACTATTTCAAATGTGGAAAGCCCTTAATAATGCATACATTTAGTGCACAAAACATATAGTGCATTGAGCGATACAGTCCATGAGTTGTATGGACCACTTTTATGACAATTTGACTTTTTTTGCCTTTTTTTGTCAATAAATTCACATTTTGTGTTTCACAGAAGAAAGAAAGTCATACAGGTTTGGAACGACATGGTGAGAAAATGATGACACAATCAATTTTGGGCGAGCTATTACTTTAAGCAAATCCTTACTTTGCCCAGAAAATGCTTCCTGTAGATCTTAGCAGTGGTGTTGCACTCCAGTTTGAAGCGTGAATTGGGAGACAGAAGCTGGTCCAGATCAGTTCCATTGCTCAGCTCATGATTGGTCCCTTCAATCCAATAACCCCCAAACTGGGGCAGCAGAATTAAGGGAAATTGACTCTTTCTGCCAAGAACCTGACAGAGACAGCGAATAAAAACAATTATGGTGGCGGTCAGTTGTGCAAGCGCACAATAAATTTGAGATATCGAGAGCAAAAAATTTTCTGTCAGCTCTTTTTTTCTGAACTGGTGTACCTCATGGACGCTGGGGTAAGGTATGTAGTCTTCCTCGGTCTGTAAGGAGATGATATTCAAAACATTAAAAATGCAGTAGACTTATTTGGTTGCAACAGACCCTTATAAACTCCAATGACCCATGATGCTGGTTTATTTAAGAGAACTAACCCACTATCTGTACTCAGTGCGATCAGTTGGATTCTATACAGGCAGTATGGCTTTAGGCCAGAGAATATTGCTCAGCACCAGTTTATCTTATTTGATTGCAGTTCCATTAGTGCAAGGGAAAGTGGGCTAGGGATGTCTTTGAAAAGTAGACGCACCAGCTTGACTGATAACTAGCTCTTCTATTTGAAGCTGTCTGCCTGCAGATAAAAACAGCAGCCTGTGGCCCTCAGACAATATGTGTTCTGTATTTTTGTGAGCATGCATGTGTACAGGGACAAAAGAGAGTCGGTGAGGTGAACATACTTTGAGAGGAGGAGGAAGAGTGCATCTTTGCTCATCCATTCTGTTGCTCTGGAAGATAAAAAGAGATAATCTGTCAGCCCAAATGTGCAAAAACAACACTTACGGTAGGTTAGATCTACTAAGGAAGAGGAATTATATGATTATATTTTCATGCCTTTAAAAAAAACTTCATGAAACGCATATGCAAGAAAATCTCATTTTATAAACGACAGGAATTCTGGAAATTTCTTTAAAATTATATATCTTGAGAAAGACACATGATGGATAAATATTAGAAATTAGGATCAATTCACTTTTACACATTATATTTACAATCTTATTCACTAAGATAATTCAGAGGCTACCGTAAATGTTCAAAAACAGTGCTGGACAGTGTTTAAATTAATACAATAATAAAAAAATGTTTTATTGCAAGTATTCTTCATTTCTATAAAAATGAGGATTATATTGCCCACAGTGAGCAAATCAACTCAATCTTAGCAAATATAAAAATATACAAATTAATGTAATTTTTTTTCTAAAAAAAACAACAATGAATTTTAAGAAATTATTTCACATTAAAAGTAAGATTTACAACAAAATATTATGTAATTCATAAAAAAGGTCAGTGTAAGGAAAACAGACAATAGCCAGGGGGAAAAAAAGTTAAACAGCATAATGGGACATTCATAAAATGATAATGAAAGACCACAACATTTTATTAAAAGAAAGTTCACATGCATTTAAACAATAATAGAAAAGAGCACATTCTTTTAGGGAGACAAGCTGAAAGAGAGAAAAAGCCTTCAGATCTGTCTTAGACAATGAACTATTTTTTATTCTCTTTAATCAGGTTTTAAGAATATGGCAGACAGTGGAACACACACAAGATCAAAGCGTGATTGTGAGTGTGCAGGGAGAAGACGTTCAAATATTTACAAGCTTATTTACAGTTATTATACAAAATATAACATCTTAAAGTTGCAAATATAAAACCATTTGTCCACTTATTTAACTTATAGTGCTGAATATTAAAAAAAGAAACAATCTCAGTGACTCAAAAGAGTGAAGCCCTATACAGTTATGAATATGAAAATACTGTATGAGCTAGTCTCATCAGATTCTACAGTACTGATAGCTGCTGTAGATTGGAAATGCTGCACTGAGATGCATTGGGGATTGAATGTTATGATCTATCTGATGATGGATTCCACCAAAGGATCTTTATGGCAGACCAACTGTGATTTACATACCAACACGTTTGTTATTTAAAACATCATGTACATCTAGCTAAGCTTCTAATTTACTCTATAATGTCCTCCAGCTGCAACCCAACATTAAATCAGATCCAATTTCAATATCATGCTGTTCTCCAAGCATTATGGTACATTTAGTGCACTTATTATAGTTTCTGCATAGACATCTGTCCATCCTAAGTTAGAGATAACAGCAGTAATATCAAATGACTAAGATCAATATGTCTCTGTGTACCCGACAACAGGATCTTCTTGTATTTCAGCACCAGAGACACCAGAAGAATTTGTTCCCTTCATAGTTCAATCGTGTTCTCGTTGTAAATTTGACTACATGACTATGATAATCAGGGCACAACAATAAATATGTACATGTTTTTCACCATAACTGTAGTTATTCTTGTAAACAAAATTTGACTTGTGTCAGAAACATTTTTATATTTTTAATGTAACACTACATTTTATTTAAAATAAATCCAAATTACAAATGAAGACAATATAAATTAGGCTTAATTTACAATAACTGCAAAAAAAAAAACAAAAAAAAACTACAATGTAACCAGATAGACATAGTTTAAAAAAAAAATGTCATATTCATATAAACAACATTCTACATCACAAAACAACATGTTTTTATATGTACATGAATGTAAGCTACATTATAGTGTCAGTGCAGCACTTGCTTGATAAGTGACTGACCCTGGGGTCATTCTTGTAGTTTATAGTGAATATATGTCCTCATTATTTACAGTGATGACTTTTGCAAGTGCAACTATGTAGCCAGTTAGGACAGCTGATTCAGGGGTTAATGGAAAATATCTAGATTAAAGATGAAAGGCAGAGGGAAGGAAAAAAGAGAAAAGTAAAAGAAACACATTACCTGCATTTTCTCAATCATTTCAAATAAATCAGTTGTCTGGAAGAAAGGAGAGGAGATGAAATGAGATGAGTTTAGAGTTGACCCCTGATTACATTCCCATGATATGAGAGGGGTGTGGCCAACAACACAGACAACACGCTGCAGTGCAGCATACATCTAACTGCAGCTAACTACTGAATATATCCCATCTATCACTCAGACTTCATCAGGAATCAGGCCTTTAAAGTATTCAGACTGCATCCATTCTGTGACTTACAGCACACTGCATTTTATTAACCAACTTACAGCAAATTTACCCTGCAAAGGTTGCACAGAAGCGCTTCTGAAGTGGCAATAGGTGTTTTTACACAGACTGCTACTTTAATCTTTCTCACAAATGGCACAGAGCAGCCTTAACTCAGCTAACTTCAGGAAAAACAAAAAAATTGTATTACAATTTACAACTGTTAACATTATGCCAAATTTACACTGCAAAGGTGGCACAGTAGCGCTTCTGAACTGGCATTTAGATGTCTTCCCACAATTTAATGCTGCTCAGAAGTGGCATAAATGCATTTACACTGCAATTACAACTGTATACTATAAATCAGCACAACCTTTTTTCACAAAACAACATGTTTTTATATGTACATGAATGTAAGCTACATTATAGTGTCAGTGCAGCACTTGCTTGATAAGTGACTGACCCTGGGGTCATTCTTGTAGTTTATAGTGAATATATGTCCTCATTATTTACAGTGATGACTTTTGCAAGTGCAACTATGTAGCCAGTTAGGACAGCTGATTCAGGGGTTAATGGAAAATATCTAGATTAAAGATGAAAGGCAGAGGGAAGGAAAAAAGAGAAAAGTAAAAGAAACACATTACCTGCATTTTCTCAATCATTTCAAATAAATCAGTTGTCTGGAAGAAAGGAGAGGAGATGAAATGAGATGAGATGAGTTTAGAGTTGACCCCTGATTACATTCCCATGATATGAGAGGGGTGTGGCCAACAACACAGACAACACACTGCAGTGCAGCATACATCTAACTGCAGCTAACTACTGAATATATCCCATCTATCACTCAGACTTCATCAGGAATCAGGCCTTTAAAGTATTCAGACTGCATCCATTCTGTTACTTACAGCACACTGCATTTTATTAACCAACTTACAGCAAATTTACCCTGCAAAGGTTGCACAGAAGCGCTTCTGAAGTGGCAATAGGTGTTTTTACACAGACTGCTACTTTAATCTTTCTCACAAATGGCACAGAGCAGCCTTAACTCAGCTAACTTCAGGAAAAACAAAAAAATTGTATTACAATTTACAACTGTTAACATTATGCCAAATTTACACTGCAAAGGTGGCACAGTAGCGCTTCTGAACTGGCATTTAGATGTCTTCCCACAATTTAATGCTGCTCAGAAGTGGCATAAATGCATTTACACTGCAATTACAACTGTATACTATAAATCAGCACAACCTTTTTTAGGGGCATAATAGTGTTTTTGGATTCAGCCATGAGTTAATAATGCCAAATACACACAATACTGGCTGGTGGCAATGTTAGTTTTGGCCCTACATTGAGGATTCGGTGGACCTGGCATTTCCTCTCTAGCCCGACGGCAGCATGTCAATTTTAAAGGATGGAGAAAAAGCATAGAGATACATAACTCAATCAATGGCACTCATATTTGGATAAAATGCTTGTAGCTGACTGTCTTTGTAGAGATCAAGTTGGTTACAATGAGCTGAAGTCGTGGAAGTCAGGGAAGTCATGGCCTAATGGTTAGAGAGTCGGACTCGTAACCCAAAAGTTGCGGGTTCGAGTCTCATACCGGCAGGGATTGTAGGTGGGGGGAGTGAATTTACAGCACTCTCTTCCACCTTCAATACCACGACTGAAGTGCCCTTGAGCAAAAATGGCTGCCCACTGCTCCAGGTGTGTGTTCACAGTGTGTGTGTTCACTGCTGTGTGTGTGCACTTTGGATGGGTGGCAGAGCACTAATTCCAAGTATGGGTCACCACACACCCAAAAGACAACGTGAACGAGAGTGGAAACAATTATCTTCGATGTGTGAAGAATGAAGACTGGATGAATTTTCACAAATACTTTGTGTACTGTAGCACATTGTTTAAACACATTGTGTGAGTCCTGCACCATTGGCAAACAATCCTTATACTGCTGCCACGAAAACAAACTTCAGGGAAACTGAATCACATGAGATAAAAAACACTGACACGAGGTCAGACGAGTCAGTCCTGTAACACAAACACATTACCAAGAGCCTCTTCAGCCAAATGACTTACCAAAACACCAGATCATAAAGTAATTTAATGATACTATTCAACTCTGAACCATATGCACTTTATGGTTCAAAGTAAGAATATCCTCCCTAAACAAACATACACAGATGAACACCTATTGGATTACAGAAATACTGTAAATATAATGAAAATATGAAATACAGAACATTTTACAGTAATATTACAGTAACCTGTACTGCAAAAAAAATTGCTACGATTTAAAGACCATTTTGAAGGCAAAATAATTTGATCTTGAGATAAAACTAAAGGTAATTGAACATGACGGACTGTGATTAGCTTGAAAAGATTAATCTGCAGCAAAATGATAGTGCATGTCAGTCTGCACTGAGAGCAGCTCTGTCAGTGATGGGAGAAAATCCATATTCTCTTTTCTTGCTTGCATTCAAAAATTGCTGTGCAAGGAAAAGGAAAGCCTTTGATATTTCGCTGTAAGAACATGACAATGTATCAGGTAAGCATGAAATATACTCTGAGATGACAGAACTTGCACAAATGAAATATACCCTGCTCTCTTCACACTCATGATATTCTTTTATTATAAGCTGATTTTTTTTTATTAATTGCTGTTGGTTTTAGCAATGTTTTGCTGCACAGAATTAACTATTAAAAAATCTATTTTTTTCTGATGTGTACTCAAATCAAATTCGGCTAAAAAATCAGATATTTAATGCTCCCAGCATTTATCCAATATTTTTGTTCAGACTGCAAATTTCCCATACTTACTGCATCAGGTCTTTTCCAGTGAGAAACTGTCACTTGCTGTGGGTTGAGCTGTGCATTTAGACTTTTAGCCATTTTGAAAAAAGTAAAACCAAACCTTCAAAAGTCACAAAGCAAAATATTGTCTGAAGGCTGCAAATCTACAAAGTCCTCCAAAATCCCTGGAAACATCCAGCCCCGAGTGCTGCAGCAGGTTCCATGTCAATAAAAAGTGAGAAACTCCAGCAGGGCAGCACTAGACTGCTGTGTGTGCTTTGGGAGGTGCGTGCATGTCTGTAACATGAAGTCTAATTGTGTATTTAAGCATTAAGATCCTTTGCTCTGGAGTCTTTCCTTTCTCAGGGAACAGAGGGAATTGTGGAGATGTTGCATTCCTACAGAATTAACTTTCTCTCTATCTTGCACTTTTTCTTTCTTTCACTGGCAGAAGTTCAGTATAAAACGGAGCTGATCTGAGCCTGGATCTGCTCTCTTTTGTGTGTGCTTTGGGAGGTGCGTGCATGTCTGTAACATGAAGTCTAATTGTGTATTTAAGCATTAAGATCCTTTGCTCTGGAGTCTTTCCTTTCTCAGGGAACAGAGGGAATTGTGGAGATGTTGCATTCCTACAGAATTAACTTTCTCTCTATCTTACACTTTTTCTTTCTTTCACTGGCAGAAGTTCAGTATAAAACGGAGCTGATCTGAGCCTGGATCTGCTCTCTTTCAGTCAGACAAGCCTGAGCAGAATCTTACTTACTCGTCAACACTGTTCCAAAACCTAGTGCAACATCGTAATCAGGGTTTGAAATGAACACCCGCCAATGTGTTGGGTGAAAACCAGTTATTAACATGAAAATGGTACAATTCATGTTAATAACTGATTCATGTAGAATAGGGTACAACGGGGCTAAAGGCCCACCTTAAGAAAAAATTTGCTATTCACTGCGCCTAACATGCATAATTGCAGAAAAAATATATACGTTGCATTGAACATTAATGGAGCAACAGATTTTGTGTGAAAATAAATAATTCAAGTTGTTTATTTTGTTTAAAAATCTTATAAATGTATGAGGTGGCAAGAGGGGCCTTTTACCCCACTCACAAGCATGGGGTAAAAGGCACATGGTATTGATACAAATACTTCAGCTAAAATAATGTTTTTTAAAATAATGTCTAAGTTAATACTTGTTCAAAACAATCACTTTAGCAAAGTTAGTACTATTTTCTGCTTATTTTGAAAAATAAAAGAATAAATTTTTGTTCAATAAATATACTGTCATTAAAATGTGGTAATATAAAAAATATATTTTAAAATACAGAAACAAAATAATTTTAATAAGCAAAGATTCTGAAAGTATGGAAGGAGATCCAATAATAATTGAATATATATTTACAGTAGTAACAACAAATTATATTTTATTATATGATATGATTAATATCATGTTTTTAAATATGATGGTTTCATTCTAAACATGGTGATTATCTCTAATATGGACACCCAATATAATATATGATATTTACCATCTGAATCTAAACATGTCATGTTAACAAATGGAAAAGTCAGCCATCTATTAATTATCATGTTAATTACTGTGCGCCTTTAGCCCCAACAACATGTACTTTTACATATTCTTTCGTTATTTAACAACTGTTGCTTTAATTATCTTAAACAATACTGAAAATCATAAAGAAGACCTTTGTCTCGAAATATATGCATTAATTTTAGCGATTCTCATTTGATACTTAAATCTACAACATTTTAAAAAGCATAAAATATTAGATCAAGTAAGCACAGAATTGCGATCGCGTCAAAGATCAGACAAATATACACGTGCATCTTGAAAAGCAAATGTTTTGGAAAGTGCTACGCCACGTTTTTGTGCCATCTAGTGGTTTAAATGAAAATAATATCAAAGGCGCCTTTTACCCCGGGGCGCCTTTAGCCCCGTTGTACCCTATAACAGGGCTGGAACAGGGTCTGGGATTGTTTTGCACACGATTTTAAACTTTCATGAACTTCGCCACACACACATCTTAACCACATCATGTGGATAAAACTACACCCAGTTTTATGATTTTTTTATGAAAAACTAAACAATTACACCTGCAACATTTGCATTCCCTGTGCTGAAAATGAGCCTTAAATGTTAAATAATTAGCCTAATTAAGGATAGTAAAGATACATTTCCAAAGGCAAAAACATAAAATAACATAATTGTTAAAAAGTCAAAATTATTATTATTATACAGTACAGAAAAATATTAAATAAAATTAGAAAGTGTTAAAATATATGTTAAATAGTTTTATCATATGTTCTCATATCTATTTTTATGGTTTTGTAAAGTCAAATTTGCAATATAATACTGTTTTGATCTGTTTGCTTTTTGCAATGTTTTCTATTTACTATTTTTCATACTGTGATTTTTTGGTGAATTGTGTTTGTAAATCTCTTTGTGCACAGTTTTGTGCCACGTTAACCTAACAAAAAATTCTGAATAGTTCATACAGGTGAGACAGGACTTTAGCTAAAGTGAAGTAACGCCTAGGTGATCAGCATGCAGAGGCATTCTTTAGTTTGGGTTATCAAGTCGTGGGACAAAATCTTAATTAAATACGTTGTAATGTACGTCTGTGATCAATATGTGCTTGTTGGAAAAGTATGTGAGGATGTGAGGGAGTGATAAGACAGAATCGTGGTGCAAGACAGACTTCTTATTATGTCAGCTTAACAGGTCTGTTGTTCGTTTGATTGGCATTATTATTAGAGTTTAAACCAGCCGTGTCAACTCTAATCGGCCTTCAACACTTCAACTCTTTTTGGAGATTCGAGCAGAGCCTGCTCAGCCTGCCCACTGATCTTTCATTACTTCCTTCTGAGAAGCAAATCACAACAATTATAGGAATCACTGTTACACCTATATACAAAAAAATTTGATCTATTTAAAATGCAACAACCTTGTTTGATCAATTATCAAAAATAACACATCCTTTAGAACAACAATCTAAAAAAAGACTAAGCTCATATGAATCAGTTTGCATTGACGTTGTAAGCTAATCTTCCTAGACCATCCAATCCAATCTAACTACTCTAATAGCCTAATAACAGTCATTGACACATATAGTAATCAATGCCAAATCTGCAATCAAATGTCAATAAATAAATAAATAAATAGCTTCAGCACACTGAAGAGGCTGAATAATCATATCATATATTATATTTTATAACAGGCGGATAATGATCTTTTTCTGTATATCAAATTGACTGGTATAAATAATTTAAATATACTAGAAATAAATCAATGGCAATTTTTGGCATTTTAGAGCTATGCACACAAATGAACCAGCACATTTGGGATGGACTGTAGTGACTGTGCTCAGAGTGCTTAGAGAAAAGTGAATAGAAGACTTTTTTCCCAAGATGTCCGGAGGAACTTTTTTTGTTTGTTTCATAGTTATCTATGATTCATGCCAACCTGATAGACAGAACTGGCAGTTTATTCTAATAAAGCTGTAAGCCAGTGAGTGGATTTGGAAATGGAAATGTCTCCAGGGATCAGCAGAAATGAGCAAATCTATTTAACTGGTCTAAAAAGACATTGTGACAAAATTTTAAAAGGAATGATAAAGAGCTTGCACGGTTACCGATGTTTCAGCCTCAGCCAAATAATATAAAAAAAAAACAATGACATTTTTTACTTAATATAAAGACAAAATAATCAGACAAAAATGTCCAAATTTAAACACTTCAGTCACATGTGTGTTTAAGTGAATGTCATTGCATGTATAACAAAATATCCAAACAATTTGACACAATTAGAAAAGAAAACAAACAAACTTCAAGTGAAACAGGTTTCAGGTTCCATTTCAAAAGATAAAACAATAGTTTAGTGTTCAAAATGAAGATAGAAAGTCTTTGGAAACATTCTGGTTATCCAACACTGTTCACTTGAGGGACAATTACTTCATACATTTATTAACAATCATCTTGGGACCATTTAGCAAAAAAAAATTTTTTTTTAAATGGCTCATAAAAGTTATTTTGAAGAAAATCAATCTAGTAATCAAAATGAACTTTACAAAAACTTGAAAAAAAAAACATGTGGCAAATTTTTTTTTCAATGGAGCTGAGAGGTAGAAAGACATACTGATGGACTTACTGAACGGATGTCAGAGGCATTATCTCCATTGTGAAATCAGGCCAATCCTTAATTAATGATCCCCTTCATGTGATTCTCTAGTCACTCTCTCTCTCCATCCTATCCATGATCATCCTCAGCTCAGCACAAATTAAATCAAATCTAACTTTAAAAGATGCTGCTATCAGACTAGCAGAAGGCAGTATTTCTCTTCTCATGGCCACGAGGCCCAGAGCAGCTCACCACCCTCTAAAACAATGCTTCACAACTGGTGTCACGGGTCTGTATGGATAATAATGATAATAATTAATTTTATTTAGTGGCGCCTTTCTAAACACCCAAGGTCACCTAACAGCAAGCAAACTAGTAAAAACAGTAACAATAACAGTTGAACAAAATTCAACAGCACAACTGCATACATCATGAATACAATAAAGGCTTACAAGAGCAATTAATAAGAGCAAGTCATAAGAAAGCCTGGGTAAAAAGATAAGTCTTAAGACGAGATTTAAAAGTATGAAGGCTGTCACTGTTCCGTATATTGGGGGAAGAGAGTTCCATAGGCGAGGGGCCGCAAAACTAAAAGTTCTTGCTCCCGTGGTGCTTAAACGTATACGCGGCGACACAAGAGAGATCGAGTGTGAAGATCTGAGAATGCGAGAAGGAGTATAGATGTGGAGAAGGTCCGTAAGATACGTTGGAGCAAGGTTGTGAAGTGCCTTAAATGTGAGAAGCAAAATTTTAAAATCAATGCGATACTTTACTGGGAGCCAGTGTAAACGTTGGAGAACTGGAGAAATTGATGAAGTCCTAGAAAGAACATGAGCTGCTGAGTTATATATATATATATATATATATATATATATATATATATTGGGGCTTTTAAACATTTTTATGAGATCAGATAGAGGACAGCAACAGGAAATTATTGGTGAGAGAGAGCGAGGGAATGTGACACAGGCCAGAGCCTCGTGAGAAATGGAGCTCTTACACATCATGTGTTTGTGGCAATGCATTTATTTTAATTTAGATCTTTGCCGATGCTGCCCATCATCTCAGTTATAAGTTGTTAGTGTCCATCCTCTCCAGAGGAGTGTCATGTGGAGGCAAGCAGCCCCCATATGCTCCCTGTTTTACAGTTGGTCTAACACATGCTAACACTGCAGGCCATTGTTGCTACTGTGCGTAACTTAACTTGATAATTTTTTTGTGCTTTCGAAACAATGAAAAAAGAATGGTGAGACATTAGCCTTGTAACAACAGCAGCTCACAGAAGAGCGTCTCAGGCCTGCAGCATGTACGTCAGAGGGGAAAAAAGACTTGCATTTCACACAGAATTAGACAGCACGTAAAACTAAAATCCTCTCTGGCTTGGCAGTCTCTAATACAAATGACATCAAACTGCTGAATGCACAATCCTGCAGAGAACCGTTCTGGCAATGCAACTATAAAGTTGAACAAACAGGTCTTGAACTGAGAATTGAGAAAAATTAACAGAATAAGCACAAACAAGTGACAAATAATCACATACAAAACCCATAAATGACAGACAAACGATAACAAATGAAACCCATAATCAACATAAGTACAAATGCGATCTCTTTATAATTTCAAATATTCTCCTAGACAGCAATGAAATTAAATGGAGAGCAAATTGATAAAATTGATTTTTGCTTAAATCTCCTGAGAAAAGACTCCCTCTTCAGAGATTTGTTCGGATTTGCTGAAGATACAAAAATCTGCAATTCTCAGAACAATGTCTCAGAACCAAGTCTGCAATTGTCTGACCATTATCCACATAATAATAATAATAATAATATATTTCTGGGTAATTTTTGTGCTTATTCTGTTGGTTATGTGTTTCATTTGTGATTGTTTGTCACTCTTTTATGGGTTTTGCATGTCATTATTTGTCACTTATTATTCACTTAGATTATACTTGATAATCTACGCTGCAGAATTGTGGATGCCATTATAACTCTCTGACATCACCCAAAATGTATCCTCTTAATCGCAGGCTCAGCGCACCGAGTTTAAAAGCACTAAAATCTCCTACACACATATAGAGATCACTTAAACTACTTACACACACTACACACAATACACAAAGGAACTTATTCTTTAGCCCTGCACTTTGAGAACCTGACCCTCGAATCTAACTTGGTCAGACACAATCGCCAAGATCGGCAAACAAAATACAGCTCAACAATGAAACTAATAACATTTGACTCAAAGGGGGTTTTAAAGGGCCCTTGTATGATCTCTCTTAGGGCCCTGTTGCGGGTGTTTGATGATCTGTGGATCAGCAAATATTAAAATGCAATAAATTTGATTTGTGCAGTAGCTCAGTATGAAAAGAAAAAACTAAAAAGAGATTTTAGTCTTCCATCAGCTAAAGTTCAACCATGCGGTTAAAATTCATGCATGAGTTTGTTATATAATTATAAATAAATTATAAAATTATAATATAATTATAAAATTATATAATTATTTACTTGTCCTTATGTCATTCCAAACCTTTATGAATTTGTTTCTTAAATGAAACAAAGGTGAATTTTTGACAAATACACTTTTTTATAAATTTGATTAAAGTGAATGAGAACTGGGGTTATCAAGCTCCGAAATAGCAGAAATTTAGTTCATATGATTCATGCAACCAAGTGTTCTGAAGTCATGCAAAAGCTTTGTGAGCGGAACAGGACCAAACTGAAGTGTTTTTCATAAAACAATCTGGCATAGATCTGTGTAATGATAGTGATATTAGAGGAAACATTCTTTTGAATCAGTTGATCCAGTTCACAAAACAAGCCTAAATGTTTCACACTGACTCAACGATCCGGTCGCTTAACAGTCCACTCATGACAGTTCACTTATTAAGCTTGAAAGCCCCTCGATCATTGAAATTGCGTGGAAAAGAGTACATTCTCTAAAATGTCTCTTTTTGTGTTCAGTGACATTCAGGTTTGGAACAACATTAGGGTGAATAAATGATAACAAAATTTTCATTTTGTTTGAACTGTTCCATTAATGGTCATGAGAGCCGTTTGCTGAATCCCTGGAGCTGTAAGTCACTGACAGTGGATAAATGACCTTTCTTAATCAGTGCAATTTTGACATCCATTAGTTTGTCTCATGGAATAAGGGCTGTGACTGAGAAACCGGCCTGACATTTGTTAATTAATAGCATCTAGCATTTAATTACATCACTCTCATTTAACTGCATGGCATGTCAATCATGTGTATCAATAACAAACAGAAAAGTCTGTAATCATGCCTCCAAACAATGACCTCATGCAAAAGAGTATTAGTTCTACACAGTGATGGAGCAGATGGGTCAGGAGAGGTGAGACAGACTCAGCAAGCAGAAGTCAAGGACTGGTAGGATGGGAGGAGGCAAGCAGGCAGGAGTTTTATGATACTGTACCTTGAGGAACGTTGAGTGAGGCAGTGAGGCCTGGAACAGTGAAGGATCTAGTGTGTTAGAAATGCAGGGCTCTCCTCCATCCTGTTTCCTGTAATGAGAGACACACTTCAGTCTAGCAGTACATGTACACACACACACACATTTACACCAGTCATTTTTCTAAAAAGGGTCACAGGCAGGGAAAACAATGCAAAATGCAAATTCTTTTTGGCCTGTCAGTCAATGATTAATTGCCTTAATTTTTACCTTGGTACTTTCTGTATAATTAAATCACATTAAATTAATGTTACTTTTCAGCCGAAAATAAAAAAATACAAAAAACTTTTTAAAGGGAGGAAAATGCTTCCTGTATCCCAGAATTCATCTTTCACAAGTCAATGTACTGTATAATATAATATAATATAATATAATATAATATAATATAATATAATATAATATAGACAGGCAACCCTACAGCCAACAAGAGCTGCAGGAGTCAGATTTGACTGATCTCAGGTCGAGAATAAGAAGAGATGACTGACAAGACCATGCTGGAGTATTTGCTGCTCAACAGATCCTGAAATCATTGACAAATATCTGATCTTGTAAGATGTGCTCCCTTTAGGCTAGAGTGCGTGTGATCGAGAAATCGAAAGTGAAAGTGAACAGCGCGAATGCTCATTCAAAAGAGATTTAAATACTCTGCATAGTGAGAGCAGCTCCCTGATGCAGCAAAATTATATACAATATTAGAATGTTTAAAGAAGTGGACAAGAAAATCACGGGAGCGAAACATGTTGTGGGAGCAGTGGTCAGAGATTCAGTGGGAGCAAGATTTAGAAAACAGGCAAATCCCGGACATTTTGGGCGATTAAGAAATCCCGGCCGGACGCATTTTTTTAGGTCCAAAAAGAGGACATGTCCGGGGAAAAGAGGTCGTATGGTCACCCTAATTTGTTACTTGATGTCCAATACCAGTTGACAACCACTGCTCTAAATGGTCAAAGGCCATGGGGTCACAGCAGAGGAAGATTTAGCATTGTGATAGCCAGAGTAATGACAATTGTATCACTCCCCACTTGGCCGTACGGCAGCACTTCTGAGCAGGCTTTGCATTTAGATTAGCAGGTGTCTCCATCTATGCAAGTCTCCATGGAGTTGAAGAGGTGATGTGCAATATGCGGGGGCTGGTATAGTCAAATTTTTTTCAGACTCCTATTGTTTGACATGAGGCCATGATTAGATTTCCCATTATACTCTAGTTGAGGAGAAACAGATTGTATTACATTGCAGGCTAAATACGGTTCAAGGCAATGTAAGTGATCTAAAGAATGACCCTGGATGCTCCATAATAAGACAACTGGTGAATTTATTCTTTCCTAAATGTTTTCATAAAAATGTATCCTGACAGACTCTTTGGCAGTAACTCCAACGAGATAACTGTGATTGCTGCAACACATATCCTCCTTAGTAATTTAGGAAATGGATATGGATATAATATAAAATAATGAGTACAATTACAGGAAACTGTATGCTAACACACTAACAAAACACATGTTGCACTTGCATAAAAAATTACTTAAAAGATTAAGGGGGGATTTGAATAAGAATACCTGGTACAGAACCACTAAGGTATTTTATGCAAATAAGCTAATAAGAGCAAATGTGCACATAAAATTAGCACTGAATTTGCACAGTGCAATTCAAAATCTTTGTGGTCAATAAAATGTGTTAAAATAAAATTAAATAAAATTAAAAATTAAATAAAAAAATTGAATTAAATGTGCCAAGCAACTAGTGTTTCTAATAGCTTTTCTCCATTTAAATAGACTTCTTTTTCTATTTTAACACAGTGTTTCAGTGCATTTAGCATCTGGTAAAAAGGTGGTGCGACTCTTGGCTGATTTTGCCCCTCAGGACATGTTTGGTGCTTATATTGCTTTTGGCAAAAAGACTTGTCTTAAGATCCATATCTGGGAAAATCCCTCTTACTGACATCAAGGAGGGGTTGGAATAGTGTTATTAAAGTTGAGAACGATTTCAAATGTGCACCGCTGATATCTTTGTAGTTTGTAAGAGAAGGTCAAAAGGAGACCTGTGATGAATCTCTCAAGCAAAGAGTCAACTTTACAGTTTGTACTTCTCAATATCTCACATGTCAGTTTCAGTGATGCCTATTACGGCTTGTTGTGGGAAATAAACCCAGAGTCTGAGCTCTACAGCAGCTGCCCCATTGTTTGCATATTCTATCCCCTCCAACAATGCCTTCCATCAAAACCAGACAGCTACTTTAAAGGTAAATTAGATTTTTAAGACATGGCCATTTGGCTTTTTAACATTCATAATAATGCATTACCACAAACCATCATTTTAGTCTTGTTTTAAATTACCCTCCAGATTGCCCTATAACCCACATATGGATGATCAAGTGAACTTTTGCCTTTAACTGATCCAGAGAGGTCTTGTGGCGTAGATTTCTGCGTTGGATAATGAATGTGATGTAATGTGGGAGTGATCGGCAGTGCTGGAACACAGACCTTAAATGAACCCCAGCTCAGCTCCAAAACAAATGATAAAAGAAAACCTCGATAAATGACCCACATCCTCAAAAAGCTCTGCTGTTTCATATGGTTTTGTGCTGATATCCTTAATTAGACCATCCTCCATTAACGGAACATCCTTTAAATTAACTTCAAGGAAAGGATCATGGAAGTGCATATCCCACTTTAGCTATACAAATGGATTATTATAGGCTCAGAATGTGGTGGTGAATTACTGTAATATAGCGGTAACTTACTGTACTGTTAAACTGACACATAGATATGGTTGGTTTATTACAGTACGGCATGATTAGAATTCCTATGTACTAATTCTCTTCCCACACAGGCAAGAAATTCCCACTGGACTGCTGAGGGAACACTCTGCATTCACAACTGGGATCATTATTTCACTCCCTACAGCTGAGCAGCTCAAAAACCAATTCCATGCACCAAACAGACAAAATCCTCACTGAAGTCTGCAGGCATCACAGTTCTGTGAAACTACACTACTGGAGTACAGCCATGAAATTATGCATTACATATAAATCATTATTTCATGCTCAAACACAAAATTCAAAAGTCTTGATAAACATTACATTATGGAGAAGCAATTAATATTGTATTAGTGCCAAAGATTCAATTATGACTTTTCTTTTTGATGCAGTTCAGTATAAGAAAGTTTACTTCATTAAAATAATGCTAGATTTTCCAGAAAAACATTTAAACATTTCTGTCAAAAACACACTAGTCATGATTTTTAAAGAATAAGGATGCACAAAATATATTAGTATTATATTGGTTATTGACCAACAGTAGAGGTTTCCTAATTGATCAGTATCCATAATTGATAAATATGGATATAAGTTTCCATTATTAACGGTCACTTAAAGTTAATCTTTATAAACAAGAATTTAAAAATGTTAAATATATCTTTCGGAAATCTCAAAATGAACATCTATTTTTTTATACTGTACATCAAATTGTTGATGCATAAATTAATTTATTCAATTAAAATACAAACCATGAAAATGAAATTGGTTTTTAATAATTATTTTAATTAAGAATCATCATTTTATATAATTAAGTTTATGGTATGACCACAAATTTTAATAGTGGTGCATCACTATTACACAAGAGCATCATTAAGTTAAGTTGACATTAATGAAAAAAACTCCAAGACAAATTCATAATACACATCTCTCAATCTCTAATTTGTATTTTATTAAACATATTAATTATTAAACATATGAATTGTCGATTTGACGAAGACACAAAATCTTTTTCCTCTCGGCTGCTAATATCTAAAGACTCAAATGAAACCCCTCTCTGTCTCAAACCCACCCTTCCCCTGCTTTCCTCTTGAGTGAAGTTCGATTGAGAGTAAATCAGATATTTAAAGTCTGCTAATGAGAGGTGTGCAGTTCCATGTGAAATTACGTAAACCATTCACTCCTGGGGTTCTGCCACGCTGCAGTGTTTCATTAGCATCTTACCTCTGTCTTCAGCAAGTCTGGGTAACCACAGCAGATGCAGGATGAAATGCACAAACAAGGAGGAGGAACTATAATGAATTATGAACTACGGTCTCAAATGTGATGCTGGAGAAAAGTATAAAGCACTAAAAGCTCACAAGTCAATTCCTGAGCACTGAAGCTCGGAGCACAACTAAAGAGGTTGGTAGGTCACCCATTAGGAAGTTAATTGTAAACGATGAGCTGTGAACGAATGTCACATACTGCTTGCAGACTCACTCAGAGCTGTATTTAATCTCCCAGCATCCCTCTATATGTGTTAATGAAGACCCTGGCAATCTGCTCCTATCTAAAAGCATATTCTACATGTCACCGTTCATGCACCGCACACCTGCCAGATGCTCTGACCATCCCTCCAATCTCACGCTGCATGCCAGACACATCAAACCTCTTACAACTGTCCCACTTCATATTCCTATACACATATACAGTGCAATTACTCACTGTGTGCAGACGGACATAAGATCTCCTCTCTCATCTGGCAGCGGTGAGCTTCTCAAGTCAGTCGCACCCCTGCTAGAAGCATTGATCCTCCCACTATCACTTCATTTGTTGTCTGTATCGCTCTCTTGCTCTTACTCAGCTGCTCTTTTCCTCTCTCTTCTTTCTTTATGTGTCTCTCACCCTCCCCGTTCTCGCTCTTACGCGCCCGTCCCGTCCCGTCCCCTCCCCCGCTCACTCAAACACTGAGGGCTGTCCATCTGAGCTGTCTGATGGGGCTGTAATTTGCATTCATCGTGCTTTGCCTTAATTAAACACACACCTCCCCATCACAGACTGTTGCTCAGGCAACCAATTCACTAACATATTATGACCCATATCCCTTTAGAAACTGTAATCCTACCTTAACATGCTTTTTTAAAACAAAATTGTCTTTGTCTTTGTCTGCTCCTGACATCCACTCTTGAGCCTCCAGGGGGTTTCATATATTCAAGAGTTTGTTTCTCTTAAGTTAAGGATCTATTAAAAGCACTTAATGTAGGAAGTAGATTAGATGAACGAATGGGAAACCATGGAAACAGAGGTAATTTTCTTAT